AGCCTCCCTCCATGGGGCTCCAAGGGCACTTGGCATGGCATCTACCCCCTTGAGCTTGTAAGCACTGTGGCCAGCAAGGAATGTAGTCCAAACAGTAAGATACGTAATAAACTTAAGTGATAAATCACAATAAAAGCAACAGAGCATTAGAAATGGCCCTTAGATAAACACAAGTTCAAGGGGAAGCGGCCCTTCTGAGTCTAAAGTCTGGATCGCTCTGTTTCGGTGAGAACGTGGCATGAGGTCTACTCCCCAGCACGTTTCAGGGCTTCTCCCGCAAACACCGGCACTTTCCCCAGAAATGGCCTCCAGACCCAGTGCTGGCGGGGATGCCGGGATGCCCAGCTCCTCAGGGGACGCACAGAACACTCCTGGTGGCCGGTCTTTCTGGGTCCTTCTCTCACCTTGGAGACAAGGACGTCTGACCATGGCATGAATAAACCCCACAGAGCAACTCATCACCGGTTGCCAGGAACTTCTGATAATAATAATTTTTTAATGTATCTCATAAATATATATGATGTTGTGTTAATAAATGTCCTTGGCCTTTTTAGTTGCCAAAAAGATCTCGATATTATCCTGGGGACGTAAATAATCTGAATGAAAAATCAAGTGAACAGAAGAGCCTTACTCTATCATAATTCAGGTTTAAAAAGACTTACATTTCATTTAGTACAAACTCAATGAATCAACAGGTAAGTCAGTTGCTTTAAAATAAGTTGTAATATTTCAAAACAATTATCAGAAAAAATCACATTTCATATTTAAAATTTTAAATTTAATGTCACTTTTCCTTTGTTAATTATAAAATAATTAACACTAATAAGCGATGGTAATGGCAATGGCCACCCTGATGCCTGAAGCGCAGGGGGAGCCTCTCTCTGAGGGCGAGTGGCCCCGGATCTAATCCCTGGACGCTGTGGGAGATTCCCCTCACATGGTGACATGAAGGACACTGAAACTCTGACTGAGTTAAGGTCTCTGGATGGGAGACCCTTCCCAAGTGTCTCGGTGGGTCCGATGTAATCACAGTGGTCCCCGTAAGGGAGAGAGGGAGGCAGAGGACGTGTGGTCGTGGACACGGGGGTCAGAGAGAGGGAGCCTGGAAGACGCTGCACTTCCGTCTCCGAAGACGGAGAGAGAGGCCACACCCAGAATGCAGAACCTAGGAAAGGGAAGGAGACGGCTTCTCCAAGGAGCCTCCAGAAGGAACGCAGCCCTTCCAAAACCCTGACACCGGGACTCCCACCTCCAGAACTGCACGATGATAAAGCTGTGTTGTTCTACCCAGAAAACTCCTGCCAGCCCTGCAGCCCGCAGGCGCGGTGAGGATCAAAGACGCCTGTGCGACGGTGCTCGATGCGGCGCCGTTCTCTGTAGGTGGGCAGTGGGAGTCAGCATTCCCAACCACGGACGAACGGACAAACCGAACGTGGTCTCGGCCGACCACGGAATGCTGTCCAGCTGCACGTGCCCCAACACAACGACCCTGACGCTACTGTGCTGAGCGAAACAAGTCAGTCTCAGGCAGACAGGTACTGCATGACCCTGCTCACATGAAGTATCCAGAACAGGCAAACCCAGAGACGGTCAGCACACGGGGGGTCGCCATGGGCGGGGGAGGAAGAGAGGGAGTTACTGCTCCCCCAGGGGCTGCAGCCTTGTCCAAAGGACTATGTTATGAGCAACGTCATTGCCATTCCCTTTTCCAACGGGGCATTTGTTGAGGAGATACTGATTGGGCAAAGTACTCCAGTCTCCCCCTGCGCTCCCTCCTGACCGTGGGCTGCCTGAGCTGCTCCCTGGGAGGCCGTCCAACCTGGTGGGCGAGGTGGGCTGTAGCTCCCTCCTTTCCTCTGAGCCTGGCCCTCAACATGCGTATTTGCTCTTCTTGGTGTTCACTCTAATCCGGGCCTTAAAAGCAGCAGTGCCCAGAAGCGTCCACCCAGCCCTGCCCCAAGCCCACACGCTCGGCCATCGGGTGCAGGAGAGGCTGTGCGGTCACCGTTCCCGAGCACTTCCAGGTTCACACCCGCTGTCGCTGAGACAGGACGGTGCTTCCCCAGTGGGAGCTTTAGTAGCTGCAGTGTGCAGTGCATGTAACGAAGTAGCCAGCCACGCACGGTCACAGACTCCGCGAATGGGAAGGGCCACCCTCCTCAGGACTGGCGCCCCCGCCTTCCCTGCAGACAGCCCCCCCCCCCCGCGACTTCGAGGAGAAATGAGAATAAGTGTGAGAGCCGATCTGTGAATCAGTCCTCGCTCTCCTCCCTTCCACCTCGGTCTCCTCTCACGGGCTCACCGTGCCTTCTTCTCCACAGGTGGAGAAAAACGGCCAATCTCCGTTCCCTTCAAAGCCAGCCCCCGCCCCGTACTTCTGATCCCAGCCCCACTGCCCACGCTAGCCCCACCCGCTGCTGTTCTGTCTTGGGTCTCGGTCTCTCAGCACGTCCTTCCTCCCGGCCCATGAACACACATTGTCTCCAAGACACACCGGCCGCCCCACGTTCCCCTTCCCTCCTGCCACACTGCCCTGCTCCGCCCTGACCCCATCGCCTCGGATCTGTCCCGGCTCCCAGTGACGGCAAGCTCTTCAGAGACTGAGGGCGTCTCTGACGACACAAGTACGCCAAGTGACACATGGGACGAGCACATACTGAACACGCGCACCAACAGCCCCACACGGCAGACTTTCTGTGAGTGCGCATCAGACTCAGCTGCTCCGCTCACAGAAGCTGCTCTGGCAGAAGACAAAGAAGTAACAACACAGTTTTAGCTAATTTCACAATATCATTCTCCTTAAAATACCAAAAGTCAAAATCATTTTTCCAGAAATATTTAAAATTGTAGTAGTTTACACAAAAGTATCAAACACATTCTTCACAATAAAACAATCGCAGGCTTGTTATAGTTTTAAATAAAAATCAATTTGTAATATCTGAATAATTTCATGCCTCATATAGTAAACAGTAATTTAATATAGAAACTGGAACTCAAATGTATTTTGAGGTTCTAAGCTACTAAAGTGATGTCAATGGGAGATGCTAAGGACAGCCGAGAAACTGACATGGAGGTACCAGCTATTCTCCGACGAACGCAGAGGCCCACGACAGGGAAGGATCTAGAATTTATGAAGGTCGCTCGAGCTGCCGTGGACAGACGGAGTACATCGCCGGGCCCCAGAGTGGGGACGTCTGACTACCTCGTCTCTGATGCGCCTCTCAGGCCGTAGCCCTGGCAGCAGCTGGCGGAAGAGCAGTGCACTTTTCCACGGTCCCCGCCGGGGTGGGGAAGCCCGAGGGCGCGCCCGTTCCCAGCTGGAGTCCAGGCCTCAGAGACAGTAACCAGGGGGCACCTGCATCGATACCACCGAGCTCTATGGTGGGAGTGACTCTGCCATGCATTTCACATGAAAACCGGGCAAGGAACTCATGAGACAGTGTCAGCACGGGCTCCAGCGAGAATTTGCAGTTTTATTTCATCGCCGTTCAAGGGAGAAACACAGGCAGGGGGCCCCTCCTGGCCCTACCTTCACTTCCTGGCTGGCTTTGGGCCCCAATGTCCTATTTCCTTGAACACTAACACCTCACGGGCAGGGCGGGCACAGGAGCGCCCTTCGACCCGGGAACACAGGCAGAGTGCACTCCCAGGAGGGCTCCTCGGTGTTGGAGGTGCCCAGGAAGTGGGCGGAGTCCCGGGGCTGGGGCGGTGTGTGTTCCTGGCGTCCTCCCATCACTCTGAGAGCATTCCTTGTCCCTAAGGTATGCATATCTCCTCTTCACTGCTGCTCTCTCTCCCTGAGCACCTTACTGGAACCCACTGGCCAGCCTCTGTCTGTGAACAAGGCCCACACCAAGGCTGGTGGCCAGACCCAGCGCTACACAACCATGGAAGACAGGCCCGAGCGGGACCGAGAAACAACAAAAAGGAGGCGGATGCCAACAGTTCAGACCAGCACGCGGCCCTTCCCAGCTCAGGAGGTGCACGGGAGTGTCACTGAGAGGGGCAGGTGTCCTTCCGAGACTGCAGGACTAGCGAGTCCCGGGCCGGAAGCTGCTGCATGGCTGCACTCCTCTGCTTCAGAACAAGGGGCTGAGTGGCCCGTGGTGTGGAGACCAGTTTCCCGAGTGACTCTCCCCTCCCAGCCCTGGAGTCGGGCCTCTTGAAATGACAGGTCACAGAGGCCACAGTCCCTGCACCTGGCAAGCCTGGCTGACTTTAGAAACTACCAGTTTCCGTGTCCCCCTGCCCCTGACCCCCACGTGGCTGCACACTCTGATTTCTGCCTTTACCACCGGACCTGCTCTCGCAGGCCAACACTCTGAGCCCCGTGCTCATCGAAGAGCGTGGGCCAAGGACTCGGTCCACCCGCGGGGACTGAGCCTTCCTCTCCTGGGAACTCAGTTTCTCATTTATGTATTAGCCCTCTCCTGGGAGAGGGTTTAACCAAATGTCACTGTGTAAAGAAAATGGCCCCAAAGTAGGGTGTATTAGAAACAGGGTTCTAACTAGGTGTAGACACCATGACAGCGCTGGCATAATCTGCTGGGAGTGCGGGTGGTAAGGGTACTGTTTTGGTAACGCCTGTAGCCAGGGCAACTTTTTGCTGAACAGTCAGCGTGTGGCACGCACGTGCGTAACACTTCCTCTGCGGTGCTCACAGCAACCTGGGAAACGCATCACCCCCACTTCACAGCCATGTGAACACAGCCCCAAACGACTGGGAACTGCCTGACACCACACTGCTCATCAGCAGCACCTCCACTGTTCGTCCCCGGAACTGGGGGGCTGAGGGCAAGGCTCTGAGCTGCTCCGTGCTGCGCCGACCTGCGTCTGCAGGAGGAGCGGGCGTCATGTGCAGAGACAGCCCCGGGCCTTGCAGCACGGGACTGTGTTCGACCACCCGGCACTCAGCCGGACCTGCGTGTGCGTGCCCACCCGAGCCTGGCCCCTTCCCGCACTGCTCCCAGGTAAGGGTGTGCCCCGGAGGGGCGTCTTACCTGTGCTGCTGTCCCCACTCTCCAGAGACGCTTTACCGTTTTCTGACGGATTGTTCATTCTCGAGTCTGCAATAAACCAGAGGTGAATAAAGTTTTTAAAAATTGAGGATGCAGTGAGGGAGGTGAAACCATGGCAGAGGAAAGGTGAGACTACTGACCGATGTCACAGCCCCATGGGGTGAGGGGACAGAGTCGGCGCGAAAACACTGGAGATTCTAGAGTCCACCAACCTTGAAGTGACCCACTCATCAGTAGTCTAATTTATTTTAAGATTCTCCCAAGAAAGACAGCACAAATCTAACCTAAAAAGTTTATACCAGTGTCTGATGCATAAAAGGTGCTTTATAATATAAACATAGAATATGTTAAAGAAACAAAATCCCTCGCTAGGTAAAATGTGTTATTACCAAATAAAGCTTCTCCCCCCATAAACATAAATGTTTGTTAGTTACAACCAAAATAAACCGCTGACCACTGACAACAGACTGGACAGCACTCAGCAGAACAGCACAAAGTACAGCTAAGGGGAAGTACCTCCACGTTTATTCCTGCCCCCAGCGAACTCAGCATGAGTCAAGGTGATATGCCAAGTTCGCACCTCTGTCATCCAGCAGAATGAGCTGTCGCACAAGGCACAGCATACACATCGCATGCTGTCAAGACTGAGACAGCCACACGGCTCGCAGACGATGCTGTCCTGTGTCCCAGATGAACCTACTGGCAGAGCTCCTACCTCCCATGGTTCTGTTTCATGAGGATTCCCACAGCCGCAAGTTTTTCACCAAGTAGTATTAGGTATCCCAGAAGACGGCAACAGACGAGAACAAGCCTGCCTTTCTCCTGCTTCCCCCAGAGGGTGAGACGCAGCACACGTTAAATGTGCACCTTATTCTACATCCCCCGCAAACTCCAACTCAGCACATTTGTAAATCAAACAAGTCTACTCTCAAGCCAGTTCTGTCTTTTCCCACCAGGCTCAGAGCCATTTAACTACTGGTTGGTAGAGAATAAACACTTTAACTGCATTATATTTGATCTTTTGACCAAGGAGCAGGTCTGTCTAATGTTCAAACAGGAAATCAGTGTTCGGAGTCCCACCCACACTGTTGCAACGGCATCATGGCACCATCCCGTGCACAAGGGACGGGAATGCTGCAGAAGGAAGCCCCTCGGTGAACATCTTGCCCCTCCGGAGGCAGCGGGCCCGCGCCCTGACACGGCTTTTCACACAGATGCCTGCCCTAGGTGCTTACACGGCTCTGCCACAGTTTGGTTTGTTCTTCAGAAGTTCAAGGGTTCAGACTCTTACGTCTTCGGTCATAAATGAGGGCTGTTCTACAACTTCCTTCCCCACACTGTCCAGAAAAATGTGAATCTCCCCTGAAAGCACGCTCAGGTTTGAAAGAAACAGGTGTGTGGCTTAGTGAGAATCGGCTTTCTGAATGACGCAGCCCAAACCTCACGGAAGTCCACACAGACCACAGCATTAATGCAACATGATGCACACCCAGCAGATGCGCTGCTCGCTGCGTCCTTCAGACAGGGTTCGCTACAGAGTGGGGGAATAACGGACCGGCTGACGCTCACCGGGGAAGATGATGGTGATTTCCTACAAATACAGAACGAAGCAGGCACAATTCCTAGTAAATCATGAACCTAACCGTGTACAAGTCACACCCCAATTTTCATATTTCTAAATTAAAGATTGTGTCCCGGTATCCTGTCTGAATCTTCTAAGGATTTTCCATTGAACTGTCAAGAGCTTCAAAACATTTGACAAAATTACTTCACGTACAAAATAATAAAATAAAAATTCTGATTACCTGTACAACTATGGGAAGGCTATTTAAACACGTATTGTTAACTAAAAAAAAATAGATATAATTTCTAATTATAAAATATAATACTAGAAATGTTTCAAAACGGTATTTTCCTTTCCTTCCTTGAGTTCCCAACTTAGTAAATGTAAGAGTAAAGAAACACAGTAATGTCCTTTTTGATACTCTCTGGGCACTCTCGACCAACTGTATAATGAGTCTAAAACACACACTGCAATTTGCTCTTGGACTGAACTCCTGACACCAGCTCACTGGTTCATTCATTCACCTTCATGCTGTGCAGACTTTAGCACTACCCTGGGTTTAGGCCATGCCTTCTCCCCAAGACTTCAAACATTTTCCGAATCGTTGCTTTATTCCAGCCTCGGCAACTGCAAAGGTGACAGGGACAGCCTCAATTTTTCAGATGGGAAAGACAGCAGACAGGAAAACAATCATTTGCAAAGGTTTGAAAGACAGCAAAGTCCTGGAGTTCCCACCATCAGTCTGACTCTCCTGGTGGCCAGATTAACCAAAGAGGCCACCACCTTGCTTATGGCAGACAGACCTCACCACAAAACAGGGCCACCATGGGCCACCTTATGTCTAAAAACCAGAATGGCCCAGCGTAGTTTGAAGCTTAGTTACCAAAGACAGTTTACGCAACCCGGCCAGACAGTCCTCACCCCAATGGGCCTGTTGTTCAATAAGGAAAATTCTAAAAATAGTCCTTCCAGGGCTTAAAATTGTTTTCCCAAAGAAGAGAAGTTAATTTTTGAAAAAGGAAAAAGCCAGTATCAGTCATAACTCAGAAAGCCCTGCCACTGGGGTCTGCAACTGGACCCTCCCACCCGGTGGCGCTGGCAGAGCAGCCGCCCTGAGCCGCACTGCTGGGAGCTGTCCTGCACGGGGCTCATTTTCACCAAGTCCTTGGTTTTTATACAGGGCACTCGAGCCAAGTATGCAAAACATTTTTATTAATATACATATTATTTAGATATACTTTAGACCTTGTTTCAGATCTGGAGTTTTCAGAACTATATGAAATGCTTTCAAAAGAAATTTCAAAACAAATAAACAAATAAATAAAGGCCAAAATCTCCATTCAAGTTGAATTCTCAATCCACATTATTTACTGCTAATAGCCTCTGAACCAGAAGAGCTGGTGGTGGGGAGGGACCTGTGCTTTGTAAACGCTCCCCGCTCCCGCTCCCTCCGCCTCTCCCCCTCCCCCAGAAGGGGCCTATGCCATTAAGTATTTCCCCACAGCCAACCGCAGGGCCTCTATTTCCATACCACAGCCGGTCCCTGCGAGCTGCGCGGTACCCACCTAGAGCAAAGTCACTGCAGTCCAGCATTGCTGTGAGGTCTTCTAGGTTCACACAGTCCAGGGCAGGGAGGAAACAGGTGGCGGTCTGGGGGGCAGAGGGTACCACTGTTTCTAACAAATCTGGAGCACAAGGGTGGGAGGTGGAAAGTGGATCGGGGAGAAGCCACTACTTGAGTCACACCACAGCCATCTTCAACTGAATAAGGAAACTTCAGTTGCTCAGAGGAGTTTTAGTCTCTCCTACCAGTGAGGACTGACATTGTCAAGGCAACTGAAGCATGAAAAGTTCCCCTTTTTGTAATAAAATAGAAACAAAGATTGCAGCTGGCAGTTTCCATAATGAAGCTTAATCAGTATGCGCGTGATTAGGGCCCTATGCAAATCTCTCCTCGTTAGCACAGCAGCCAGCACTTTGAAGTCCTCGAACAATTCATTTACAGAACACACTGAAAGCACTCCCTGCATAATTTAAATTATTGCATAAATATTTATCAGTCCATTTGCATATTAATTGGCAGTGCATGAAGAGAGAAATTATCTCCTGAGTGCCAGCATAATAATTAGGAGGATAAAATGAGATTTCTGCCAATGGCCTGGCTTCTCGGCCCCAACCTGTGGTAGTGGCAGGGAGAGGGGAGGGACAGGAGAAGGAGTTCTGTTCAAATGCCTCTGAAATGACATGTACAAATTAGCGACAACTCTACAGACTTAAGCACCTTTCATCTTATTCCTGCTGGCAACAATGACTTCAGTAATAAGGGGATTTGCAAAAACCTTTCCACACAACCCAAATAATCCCAAGGAAACAATGAGCAAGGTGGAAGCAGAGCACAGGACGCGGGCGGCGCTTCCCGCTGATGGGGATGCTTCCAAACCCGGCGGCGCTGCAGGGGAAGGTGCCCCTCACCACGGCAGCCACCGCACAGGTCCAGAGGCAGGGCAGGACCCACAAAACTGTCTCGGGGGAAGGCAGTCCCGGGGCGCCACTCTGTGCACTCCAAAGGGAGAACGGGCTAGGTCAGCCGAACTGCCACTCGGCGTGCGCGGGAGCCTCCCCATCACTTGGTCTAAAGTGCAAGGCAGCGGGTTACTCACAATGGTCATCAGAAAATAGGCCGTGCGAATTGTAGAATAACTTAGTATTTCAAGTAATTTCTACTTAACTGATAGGAATATATACACGTGTATGTATAAAACCCTACTAAACAATACATCTATTCAATTTTAACTGAATTTACAAGGTAAAACATCAATCACAATATGACAACATCCCACTTGAATCATTGTGGGCAGTTCAGAAGATTTATAAAACCACACGAAGTAGACATTATTACCTCTTTTAAAAATCAGGAAACTGTGCCCTGGCCGGTGTGGCTCAGCTGATGGGAGCATCATCCCATGCACCAAAAGGCTGTGGGTTCGATCCCCGGTTGGGGCGTGCACAGAAGGAAACAGACCCCCGTTTCCCTCCCACTTGATGTCTATCTCTCTCCACCCCCCTCCCCGATCAATGGAAGTGTCCTTCCGTGAAAGGACCCTTGGGTGAGGGTAAACACAAAACACTAAGGACGCCGAGCCGCAGAGAGCTGGAGCACTCTGCCCAGAGCCGCACGGTAACGCACGTCAGGCTGCACGGCTGGACCTGGCTGACGTGCAAGTCTGTGCTCTCGGCTCTTACGCGTGATGAACAAGTTGTAGGTCAAGGGGCCTCAAATACAGCAACACTGAAACAGCCTGTTTTCAGTGTGGCCTGTGGGGAGGAGACCAACAATTGGTGACAAGGATTTGTGTTTAAAAGTCAAGTGTGTGTAGATACACAGACGCATGCAGCAGACCGAGGCACATTCCCGGGAGTATTATCCCATTAATAACTGCTTTGATTTTGAACCAGTCTTTGAGCACGCCAAGTGTCTGATTTCTAAAAATGTCACTTTTGCCAACACTAAGTTTGAAACTGAACTTGACATGCATGTGAGAAAATGAAAGACAAGACTTTTATAAAGAATTTTAAAAAGATCTTGCAAGTTGAAAACAGCATGAAAGCGAACCAAGAGTCTCAACTTCCAGATCAGCCCTCCGTCTACACCGCCAGTTCCTCTGGTGCAGAGTCACGAAGAGCCTACGAGGAGAGGGTGAGGGGAGAAACACAGCGCTGCCCTCTGGGACCAAGAGACCTCAGGTCCTTGCCCTCTCACCCTTGACCTCATTTGCACCACGACCGCGTCTTTCTCACAAGGTGGCCACAGGACAAGTACACTCCGGCCTCTTGGGGAGCCCGCGCCGGGGAGACCGCAAGGCCTGAGACAGACACGGGAGAGCTGCCGAGAGCGGCAGCTGTGTTCAAGCACAACCCCCACTCTGTGTGAGGACAAGCAAGGCCAGAGGATGGAGCAGAAGGCAAGTCTCCAATGAGGTTCAGGGCAGAATGTGCTGGGCTACATAAGCCCGGCTCGGTGGTGGGGAAAGATGGGCGCACTGATGACTGTGACTGGAACACAGGAGATGCCAATCAGTGTTTCTTCCCCTCCCTGTCTGCCTCATAGTGTCTCACGCGCAGCTCTGCCTCTCCCCAGCCACCTTTCCCTGCTGTCTGCAGGGACACTCTGAACGCCATCAGTCCTGAAGCCCCACCTGACAGCCACCGGCAACACAGGACGTCTGCTGACCGGGGCTGTGCAGGACCAGGCCTGAGCAGTGCAATAACCACCTGCTAGGCCCAGGGCCCTGTGCAGGGAGTGGCGCTCTGCATGGCAGCGGGCCTGCTGCTCTCTCGGGGCTAGCGTCCAGAGAAGGACCCCTGCACTCTACCGTAGAACTCACTCTCTGCACTCCAGGAGCAGGGAGGGGGGCCAAAGGAGGAAGCAGCCCTTACAGACAGCGAGCCAGGGTGACAGGAAGCCTCACTCCAGTACAATGCAAAGGCCAACAAAACGCCCTTTCTACACCCTTTCTGCCGCCCTTCATCTAGGCGCGCTGTGCACTCCAGAGGCAGCTTTGGATCCCACCAGACTGCCCAGGCCCCCGGGCCCGGCGAGGCCAGAAGGGAGCTGACAGACGGCTTTACTCACAGTCCCAAATGTTCACCACGTGCTCTCTGTTTGAAATATCAGAATAAAACAGGACCTAAAAGGTCACCCTTAAAAAAATCTGGAGGTTTGTGGGATTGTCAGTCATTTATGGTTCACTATGAATTAATCCAAATCAACTGCTTTCATTTTACATCTCGTTTAGGAGTTGATATGTGATATAATGGTTGTTTCTGCTGGGAAAGAGAGCAATAAATACTCTCATAACCTTATTTCATAGAAAGTAAACTGAGGTCTAGACCACGCCTTGTAGGTCACTTATTATTAAATGGCAGAGAAAGGGGGTGGGTCGGGGACCAGGACAAAAGAAGGGGGCGCGAGAAGAAAAAAACATAAAACACACCGTGACTCTCAGCCCGTAATGTGCATCTGCAGGTGGACTGTCAATCAGAAAGTCAGGTTAAAATAAATGCCATAAAACCGCCACGTATACCTTCAACATCTCGTTTTAATGCGAAGTCCGTGAATACACACTCATTCCCCAATTTCTGATGTCGAACCACAGGCTTTGCTTTCGGTTTGGTCCCACTAACTGTGTCTTTTCTTCTTCCTTGGATAAAATCACACCCTTAATACACACTCTCATACTTGCAGCTTCAGTTTCTTCAGCTTTGTCTTTCAAGCTTTTCATGTCTTCATATTTTACAATGTGTACTATGTACAGAATAAATATAAACAAATTCGGGGAAGGTTTCAGGAAACAATGCTACTTCCTAGATGCAATACACTCTGCTATCTCCTAATACATTTTTCTAAAGTGCGTTTTCAAGCTGCTAAGGTGACCTCATGACCCACAGATGGAAAACTGCTTTAAAAATAAGACAAGAACTTAAAAGACACATAAAGCCATCTGATTGAGAATCTTTTTCATTCTTCTTTCTTTTAGAATAATTGATCCCTAAAACTTTACAGCTTTTCTATTCAAGTCTAATTCAACAGCATTTTAGTAATTACCCTTTAATAAATCTTTTCAGTGTTGAAGTTTTCACAGAAACATCGTCTTTCTTTCCTTGCTTCATATAATAATTATTTAAATTATATAATTAAAACAAGGAGCACAACGGACTTGGGGCACGACCCAGTCTGCGACTCACAGCCACCACAGTGCCCACTCCTGGACGCATGTCCGCAGGGGGCACTAAGCTCAGGGCAGCCTCAAGGAGGCCATGGGGCGGAGATCATGGGGTGGAGACCCCACCAAGTCTGTCTATCCAGTGCGCCAGGAAGTGGGGGTCTGTGCAGAAAGCCACAGCATGAGGGGGCAGCGAGGGTGAAACGGCACAGCTTCTGATTCCCCCTTCGGCCCGTGCTCCCCTGTATTTCTGCATCCGTGGGCACGGCTCCTCGGCTGCCCCATCCCACACTCCGGCAACCAGAAGCACACCATTAGAGTCCAATCCCCAAACTTGGCTGTGAAAGCGTCCCTGTCGTGCGGCTCTGTGGAGTCTTGCCACTGCACCACCCCCACAAGGCTCGCCCACT